TGATGTCCTCATCTGTGCCTCTGGCGCCTGTAGTTGAAACGATTCTGCCTAAGTAGGTGGGTAGGTGAAAGAGACAACTTCCCTTAGATTTCTCCCGTTGATGGTGATTGGTGCTTGTAGTTGTTGTCGAGGTTGGTTGTGTATACTCATCACCTCTGTCTTCTCTCCGTCTTCGCTGCCTCACCTCGCCTCTTTTGCCAACTTGTTGGTTTTGGCCTGTAGATCTTCGAGTCTGTGCGACAAGACGTTAGACATAGATCATCATCGTTGGCGAAATCCAAATCTTCTTGTGGGGTCTTTTCATCCGTCCAGCTAGCGCATGCCCCTCCTCTCGCTCCTCACAGTTGTCTGTTGCATGATCCACTCCAGTCCCGTCCAGTCGACCACGATCAGGAAGTAAGCAGCCTCGTCTTATTCCTGTCTTCACTTCAAAGGCGTCACTGAGCTTCCCACTGTGAACCACTTGGCATGTAGCATCCTCATATAGGATAAGGCTGCTGTTAAATGAGGTTGATAAATGTTTGTGACACTGAAACCGTGGTGTTGAAGAAGCTGCCTGCCAAGTTATCTTCTTGGTCGGCGCTGTCGAAGGCCTTTACAGAGTCGATGAAGTTGAGGTAGAGAGTTAACTGGACATTCATTCTATGCTGTGTTCTATGATGATGCGTAGCGAAGCGTTGCAACTTGATCCGCACATGAAATGTTTTTCCTGAAAGCAGCCAGCCTGTTGCGGTCGTAATTTTGAATGCAGTGCTTTGAATTAAATTATTACAGACAGGAGATATATTCTATGCTTTGTTTAATACTACGAATAGGTTTGACTATGTTACGTCTATTGATTCTCGAACTGCTGTCCTTTTGAAGGATTCGAAAGTATCTTCATCACTCAGATGAGTACCGTCTATTTTTCAAGCAGGATCTTTTAGCTTGTATTTGTGTAGCTCTAATTTTAAGTGAGATGAACAGTGGTACTGCATGGGAAGTATATGAATTTCCTCATCACTTCAGTTACAGTACATCTTTAACCTGGCTGTTTTTACCTTAAACCATTCACCTTAGTTTACATTCTTCCACATGAAAGTTGTATGTCTACATAACTAGTATGTTGATGAAAGTGTATATCAATACCTTTAGGGAAAAATACTAAACCTATCTAAATCAGATGCATCAAACAGTAAGAAAAAGGGTACTGTTTGAAATGTTCTTGCCTAACCGCTTGGTTGGAAATGACCTAGGGGGACTCATTACCCAAAGTATCAAGTCACTGAAAGAGATAGATATTATTTCGCATGACAGAATAGGTGAATACTAATTTATCTATGTGCATGGTTGCATTATTATACATTACGATATTTTCTGGGAGCAGAAAACTTTTCGAAGTGAAATATCAAACGGCATTTCAGTCGATGCACTTTTCATGAATCTCAATGGTATACAAATAGGCATGTATTGTGGAACTTAGAAAAATGGATTACATTTAAATATGTTCCTTCCAGTCACACTAATATCATCCTTGACCACTATGAAGTACAGTCGCTGTCGAAAAACAATTTATAAGCTTGTGAAATAACCTGTGTTTACCGAACTGGTTTATGATGTCTGGTTTTAAGGAAACTAATATAGCGTCGAGAGAGGGGTAATTTGGCAGGCAGTTGCTTCAACACTACGGAATACCACAAACCTTTATCAATCTCATTCAACAATATGAAGACGCCACATGACAAGTAATTCACAATGGGAAGCTCAGTGATGCTTTTGAAGTGAAGACAGGAAGGAGTGAAACAAGGCTGTCTACTATCACCCATGATATTCCTGATTGTAGTGGAGTGGACTGGATCATGCAGCGAACAGTGTGGAGCGAGAAGAGGGGGATAGGCTAGATGGACCACAGAAAAGAACCTAGAAGACTATGATTTCGCCATTGATGACTTGTATCTGATGTCACACAAACTTGAAGATCTACAGGCGAAAACTAACAAATTGACAGAAGAGGCAGCCAAGGAAGACGGGACTTCCTTCATTGAACGTAGAGAAGACAGAGGTGATGAAGATACCCAAACACCACCAACAGCAACAATAAGCACCAATCACCATCAACGGGAGAAACTTAAAGGAAGTAGCCTCCTTCACCTATCTAGGCAACATCGTTTCAACTACAGGTGGCTATGGTACAGACGAGGATGTCAAAGCAGCCAGGATTGGAAAAGCAAGACAGGCGTTCATTAACCTGAAACCAGTGTGGAGATCTTCTGCACTCCACTCAGCATGAAGCATGAACAAGATTCGGATTTTCAACACCAACGTCAGTCAGGTCAGTGCTTCTGTATGGTTCAGAGACTTGGCGCGTTACGAAAGGGATTTCCAACAAACTACACACATTGATCAACAACTGCCACCTAGGCTGGCTGGTTACTGAAGATCAGATGGATTGCCAGAATAATGAGAATAAGCAACAAGGAACTCTAGCTGGCTGGCTGGCTGGCTGGCAACGAACCAACGAAGCAAGAAGCTATCACTCAACAAATATGCAGTATCAGGAAGTGGAGATGGATTGTGTTGGGCATACACTGAGAAGGCCGATTGGGGACATCACGCGCCAGGCCAGGCACTCAAATGGAACCTAGATGGGAAACGACGAGTTGGGTGTCTGAGGGTGACATGGAGGAGATGGTGTGAGGAAGAAATGAGAGCTTGTGGGCTATCATGGAACCAGGTTCGAAAGTTTGCAGAGTGCTACTGAATCCCTATGTTCCACTAGGAACCCAAGGGACAAATAATAATAATAATAAAATGAAATCTTGATATAAATTTGTCACTGGTTGATACGCATCAGTCAGGCATATTTCCAACCTCAACGGAACTGATAACCTCTCAGAAATCCGAATATACGTCACTCAAAACTACATTTGTAAACATTACTTGATACTGTAGAGACTAGCATATCAACTGTAACATATACCAGCTGATGTAACGTACTTGAGAACACTACCCCTAACCTACCTGACAAAGAAAGAATGGGAATACGTTCTCCTTTATGACGCAATTATTTTTTAACTGTGTAATCATTTTGTTTATTTACTGATTTTAAATGCCTATAGACATTACTTAGCTTTCGTTTTTCATACAATTTATATTGACCTTTGACCGGAGATTGCTCTACTACTACCATATATATATTGACGAATCTACAGCTATTAGAATGATTTTACCGAAAACTCTTTTTTCTTTTCGCTGTAATCGTTATCTGTCTCTTCTTTTCACAAATAAATTACTTGAACTGTGATTAACTTCTGTCAGGAGTGGATGAGATGAACTGGTCTTTTGAGACTAGACATTATCTATTTGTCTGATCCTATGTGCTAATCGAATCCTATGTAGCAAGTTGTTTTATTTGAGTATAATTTATTTTATTGAAACCTTAAGAGACAAATGATTTGTACTTAAATTTTATGATAAACTTTCTTGAACTAATCCTACCCTTTGTAACACTTTGTATAACAAAGCGAACTTTGAAAGAAAGAAACACAAACTATATTTACTGTTTATTTTTTTATTTATCCATCGACTGACCTTATCCTTTTCAATCAATGAAAAAAGTACAATGAAATTGTTATTTAAATAGCAGATATTATTCACATTCAATGTAGCCTACCTGGACTATTCAGAAATACGAATACACCCACTAAATCAGGTCAAGAGCAGCATTTGTCTTCATCACTATGAATATAGACAATAAATTGCGTCTATTGCGGGCACTTAACGGGTAACACAATTTAACTATGCAAATGATAGATCGTAGCTAGCAGTGGAATCCAGGATGCGCATTTCCTTCTAATTGGGATTCGTCAGCTGGATGTACCTGCTTCCCAGTGAGTTTTGTTGTTCCCATCGGGACTCGGACTCGTAAGGAACAACGTCACTCACTGGGAAACAGGTGTGTCCAGCTGACGAGTCCCAAATAGGACGAAATGCACATCCTGGATTCCACTGCTAGCCACGATCCATCATTAACATAATTAGAATGCAGGCAATATCGAAGCATCCACACAGAAGCCTATATACCAATAGAGACCGATCAGTTCGGTCCAATTGACGACGGTATGATATAAAAAGAATTATACAATTTAACTATGTCACATACTTAGCCAGCAAGTTAGTAAACAACACTACTTCATATCATACATTTGACAAGGCTGAATAAAGCATCAGAAAAAATATATTTGCACGGTAAGATGGACTCATTTTATTTCACTGCCTTTCATCAGCTACAAACCGCCTAGAATGAAACGAAATATTAGTAGCAATAATGACGTAACATATTTTGAATATGTAAAAATAAATGAAGATTCGAAATCCAGGATTAACACGGAACTGTGAAGAAGAAATTTGTTTACCTTCGTCTAACATCCAAAAGTGATGAGACATCTTAGAATAGACAAAGAATAGAAGTTGCACTGAAAAGCAGCTTCCCTGCTGCTAGACTAATCTCAGTTTACAATACTATATGCTCAATAGCACAGTCAAAAGTAGACAAATATCTAGCTCACATCACTTCCACATATGCTCCTGGAAGGACAGAAAGAAGGGCATCTACTCGATTTTATTTATTCCAAGAAATCTGTGTTGTAGCAAAGTCTCTACCAGTGTAATCACCAGAGAGCTGAACGGAATAGGGGGATTAAATAGATGTTTCTTTGTATTTCGGGATAATCAACAAGCATTGTGGTTGGCGAGAACTTTTGCTATCAAACATTTTTAACCTGACCTTTGTGCTCAGCAAGGCAGTCCATAACTAAGCTTTCTTTACCATAATGATTGTATATAATTTTGCATATTTATATATACAGAAGTTGTAATTGTGAAGACACAATACATAAACAAGAAATTTTAGATTCAGTTTGTATTTTAAATATTCATCATACTAATAACAGTTACAGTTAGAAATTTTCTTACTTTGTAGTTATCCACAATTCATGTTTGGCGCTTCTTTCTGAGCATTTTTACAAATAAACAACAGATTTGACAAGGTCATAATTTGATGAATTCATAGCTTTGTACACATTTCTTGTTAGTATTGATTCGAATCTAGCAGATTTAAATCCTGATGATGGAATAAACACCTTGGATTCACGTTTACTGCGTAACCGTTTATATGGATCTATATATGGATCAGATATGTATTTAGGAAAGGGATTGAATGTACCAGCTTTATAACCACCAGGCTGTTTTCCTGGATTAGATGGTCGAAATGGAACAGTGATACTTTTAGTTTGTATTGGTACTACTGTCGGAAGTTTCTGTAAACCTTGTACCTTGTATGGATCAGGTCCAAAATAATCAATATTCCCGGAAAGAATGAAACCTTTACGACCCATCAATAATCTTTTATGATTTTCTGTATCACTGGTTTTACCAACACTATCTAGGTATGGCTCTGAGACATACGTAGGAAATTTTCCAATTGTTATATTAAGATAACCGGATCCTGAGCCTTTCTTAGGCGGTGAAGTATAGAAATTCTTTCCACTTGATGATTTAATTGACTGAATTGATTCATTACTAAAATGTGGAATGGAACCCGAGAATGTGCCCCAATAACCTCCTGATCCAATAAGTTGTTTGGAACCAGAGGGTGGAAAAAATACTATGGGACGTTCTTTACTTTTTTCCTTCAAACGTTCTTGATGCCGAATCTTAGTCATATCTGTTAGAGCTTCACCGATAAATGATCGTTTAAAAGGACTGAAATATCCATCATTTAACCCACATCTTGTTTTCGTATAAGCTCCATACATTTGTCGTCCTTTCATTGAACTCTGACTAAGTGCAGCTCTTCCTAAATCCACATATGGATCTCCAATAGTATGATAGGATAATTCTTTGAAGTAGCCTAAACGATCGAGATCTGGTTTTGTAGTCAAAGTCATACTCTTCTTCTATTGTATTAATCAAAAGAATTATTTACACAGCATAAATTGTTAAATTTACACTAAACTTTTGTTTAACATAATGCCATAGATTGAATGCATAAAATTGGGCCAATCAAATTAAACCAATTCTAATTCATCTGATTGGTCAATTCCCTTTTGTCAAGAATGAACTGATTACAGTACAATAATCATACTTCATAAGTCATTATGTTAAAACCAATGGATAATACAATTCGTCAAGTAAAAAATAAGGTTTCACATGGTAACCTGAAAATGAAATCATTTCGGAAAAAAACAGTTTTTTTATCATATGTTTTACTGTTAAAGACCAGTTGGTATAGCAACTGATTCATTAAAGAATTCACTTTTTCTATTTAGTGTATATAAACATCAGTTGGTAACTCACTTCAGAACAGATGAAGGAAATTGAAGTGTAAGATATAGGCGAATCACGAATAAAATACACAACAAAAATGGAGGAATGTAGACTTCTATGATGTTTAATGGTTTGCTAGAGTCAGTAAATTAGCTTTCACGTCATATTTTCAAACAGCTAGACTTTTAATTACCATCCTCAACCAAACGTTATTACACAATATTGAAGCTGAATAAACACTCATCCGATACGATGAGTACATTTTGAACCACTTAAAGATATATCCTAACCCTTCTTTAATCATCTAGCCTATTAGTTTCTTCTATACTTAGTCTTACTAACTACTAGTTAACAGAGGTCATGGTTACAACAATAAGTATCTTAAGAGATTTACAACCTTATTGACCAAGTACAAACATGTTATGAAACTTGTTGCTTGTAGCTGATGTCGACAAATGATAAGGTACATAACATTCAAAAATTACAAACTGTCTTCGTTAAAAATTATGTCCTATGTGAATAGTATGGTCTCTGAGGCATAGGTTTAACTAGTAGCTAAGAAAAGAAAATTGTGAGGTAAAATAACCTCTACAGGAAACATCATTTATGAAGCCTAAAAGGGAAACATTTAAATAATCATTATGATGAGTAGAAAACAATTCTTCATAGGTTATTTAGTTGAAGGTGATCGACAAGATGTTCTGTTTGGCGTGAGTCTCGTAATTATTGTCACTCATCAACAAGGCATATCTGAAACTTGCAGAGAACTGATATCCTCCTATGAAATTCTGAATCACTTCATTCACTGTTGAATTGGGAGACGTTTCCATCAAGCTATTTGAAGTGTGACTGACCTTCAGTAGGACTGGATTATACAAACTTAATGGTAACACCAAGTTGTCTGGTCATGATTGATGATCGAATTCTATTGATCATTTTTCAATATGGTCACCAAATAGGGAGACTCATTCATCGCAATTACCTTCATTCAACTTACGTCCATCTGGGTTCAAACATCGTGCGGACATTCCATGTCCCCACGTTTACTTTCGCTTTCATCGAGAGAAGACACATCGGCCAATTGGCTTCCCGAAGGCTTTCACCAACTGGCGTCATTTCGCCTCTCCGATTCCAGCGGGGAATAAGTTTGTTTTCATTTTTTATATTTTGTTTGTGCTTTGAAGTTTGTTTAGCGGTTAGATTTGTTTTCCGGGGTAGGGTTGCTAGCCCTATGCCCAACCTTCCCTCTTTACCCGGGCTTAGGACCGGCTAGTAACTAGTAAACTAGTTAACCAGGCGAGAAGGCCTTTGACAGCGTCGACCGAGAAGTAATTTGGAAACTGCTTCACTACTACGGAGTACCGTAAACCTTTATCCGCCTCATTCAACAACTATATGAAGATGCCACATGCCAAGTAATCCACAATGGGAAGCTCAGTGATGCCTTTGAAGTGAAGACAGGAGTGAAACAAGGTTGCCTACTATCCCCCATGATATTCCTTATTGTGGTGGACTGGATCATGCAGCAAACAGTAGGCAGCGAGAAGAGGGGGATACACTGGACGACGGAAAAGAACCTAGAAGACTTGGATTTCGCCGATGACTTATGCCTAATGTCACACAAACTTGAAGATCTGTAGGCAAAAACTAACAAGTTGATAGAAGAGGCAGGGCAGCGAAGACGGGACTTCAGGTGAATATAGAGAAGACAGAAGTGATGAAGATACCGCACCACCACCATCAACAACAACAACAAACTCCAATCACCGTCAACGGGAGAAACTTGAAGGAGGTAACCTCCTTCACTTATCTAGGCAGCGTTGTTTCAACTACAGGCGGGACGGACGAGGACGTCAAAGTGAGAATCGGAAAAGCAAGACAGGCGTTCATTAGCCTGAAACCAGTGTGGAGATCTTCTGCACTCAGCATGCGGAACAAGATACGGATTTTCAACACCAACGTCAAGTCAGTGCTCTTGTATGGCTCAGAGACTTGGCACCTCACGAAAGGCATTTCCAATAAACTACAGACATTCATCAACAACTGCTTACGCTGGCTCGCTACTGAAGATCAGATGGCCACAAAGAATAAGCAACAAGGAACTCTGCGAACGAACCAACCAAGAACCTATCACGCAACAAATATGCAGGAAGAAGTGGAGATGGATTGGGCATGCACTGAGAAGGCCGACTGAGGACATCACGCGTCAGGCCAGTTGCTCGAGTGGAATCCCCATGGGAAGCGACGAGTTGGACGTCGGAGTCGAGGGTGACATGGAGGAGGTCGTGCGAGAAGGAAATGAGAGGTTGTGGGCTGTCGTGGAACCAGGTTCAAAAGATCTCAGAGAACAGGATGAAATGGAGACGTGGTACTGAAGCCCTATGTTCCACTAGGAACCCAAGGGACTAATAATAAATATAATAAAATAATAATAACTTACGTCCATCAAAGTGTACCACGATGGTCACATTGAAAAATGATGGACAGAATTCAGTCAGCACTCAGGAATAAACAATATGAAACTGGTAACTGTTCAGTGACAGATCAATGTAAAAAATTCTCTAAAGAATACATTGAAAATATTTTGTCGTCTTCTACAACTTTATGATTTCATAAATTTAGTATTGAAAACCTTTGAGGAAACTGAACTTTTCAGGAGAAGTATTACAACTGTGAACAGACAATTGTATAACTGAACTGGTTATAGTGTAAAATATGATTATATATGACTCATATACTATTGTTACTCAAACAACGAAATATTAGGTGATAATCGTGATATCTCGTGATTTGACAGAAGTTTGAAACTGTGGACCACTGAAATCCGACCCTCAGTCTAAATCGCTGACGCGTTCGCCATGGAATTCGGAAGTTCTGAGTTTCATTCCAAGCCGGGTTGAGGTTGCGTACTGTTGAGGGGTGCCATACTAAGACGAAACAGCTGTCCAGGTTTCCCAACTAATGTCAATCCAAGATGAATACCACCTCAAAACCAAATATTTACCAGATGTCAATGTTATCATCTGACTGTCTGAGACAGCTGTAGTTTGGTAGACTACTATTTATACTGGGTGATGACTGAAGGTGAAATGGAAATTTGGACTGAGACCGGATTCGAACCACATACCACCGAGTTCCCGGTCTGATGCTCTACCAACTAAGCTACAAGGTCCAACTGCTAACTAGATTGTTATTTCACTTCAATCACCAAGGGTTCATCCTGACTACCATGTACCTCAGTCGGTAGAACATAGGGCTGGAAACCCGGTGGTCGCTGCTTCGAATCTGGCTGCGTTCCAAGTTTTCATTTCACCTTCAATCATTACACAGTATAAACACTAGTCTGCCAAACTACAGATATCTCCGATAGTCAAATGAAAACAACATTTATTGACTTCTTGAAAACAGTTTCTATTATGAAAGAGTCTCATTTGTAAAACTTTTTATCAGACAGTAAAAACTGAACAACGTACTTGAGACAGTTGGTTCCTTGTATAAATTTCTAGGATAAACAATAAGATATAGTTTAACTGAAACATGAGGTGTATTAGCGCCATGTATTTCGAACAATTTGGTCACACCTCTTAGGACAAATGACACTAGGCGAAAAAATTGTAAACTCTTATCAAAGTATTACTATTGTGCAACAACAACTATCCCCTGAAATTAATTAATCGGGATAAAAGTTCCAAACAGAGAAAATTCATTGTCCAGTCAGTTGTTAAGAAAGACTTCTATATCTTCTTACGATAAATAGGTGATTCATAGAGTCTGATGATTAACCAAAGACTTAAGGTAGTCATGTGGAGAACTATGCATTAAACGTCAACATTATGGAGAAAATCTAATCTTAGTACTTCTGTATACCGTCATTGGATTTGAACAATGGAGTCATATCTAATTGCATTTATAAGTAGGTGTGGTCCCAAATACAAGGGACGGACACATCGACCTATGCCACTAAGGGCCGCAGAGAACATTTTAAAATGGCTGGAACAGCAAATAAGATTGAATGATCCCAATGACCCGAAAAACAGATGTTCAACTTCATCTATATATAAACATACCAGTGAAATGGGTCACAAGGTTGATCTGTATGTATCTTCCACAGCTTTTTACTAAACTAATTAGGAATATATACTAAGCGTGTTAAAGCTGTAGCTATAAAAAAAGTTAAACCTGTTTTATGTATTCAAGAAGAGTATGGTGTTGTAATAAAACCTATCTTGTTACATGAGCATCAATGTCAAGGGTGATTAATATTATACGGCATTTTTATCTTTCAATATGTTACTTTGACCTCTAAACTTAGACTGTTCGAAATGTATTGCACTAATACATTGCACTATTCATCAGGTAAAGTCTGAAACATGGCCATTGAAAGTAGAGGATACAAAAAGGCTTCAGGTGTTTGACCACCGTTGCCTTCGTAGTATAGGCCGTATTCCGTGGTGTCACCATGTGAGTAATGCAGAAGTTAGGTGTAGAGTTTTGGGGAGAAGAGGTAAGTCAGTCGACGAGGTTGTGAACCTTCATCGACTGAGATGGTTGGCACACGTACTAAGTATGCCTAGTCACCGATTGCCTCGTCACACAATGTTGGCTCAGGTGGGTTCAGGCT